TGATATTAACATATCATCGATGTCATGTATCATTACACTTGAGATCTGCACCAAGTCCAAGTCTCTTCTAACCAAACCATGACAGTAAACCAGTCAATTCAAATAACCCTTTGGCAATACTGAAAACTCACTGCCATCAAGTCAACCCCCACTGGGTTTCTGAGGCAGTAAATCTTTAAGGAAGTAGATTGCCCGGTCTTCCTTCCATGGAAGGAAGTGGCCTGTGGGTTTGAACCGCCAACCTTCTAGTTAGCAGTCAGATGTCTTCAGGAACAATGCCACCAGAGTGAAAATGAACTGCAGCTGGCTCTTTCCTGGGTTTGGGATCAGGAAAAATGCATTTGCAAGATCAATCACTGAGTCTCCTTAAGTCTACTGTATTTTCTGTGCTACTGATACCAGGTCTGGGACTGTTAAAGCCACAGGTGGCATTACTTTATTTAGGCCTCAGTAGTCTGAGTCAGCTTCCATGAGTCATCTGTCTTTTGCACAGGACATACAGGGCTGTTATATAGAGAATTTGATGGCATCAACACTCCAGACTTCCAAAAAAACCAAACACTGCCGTCAGTCGAATCCAACTCATAGTGACTCCTCCTTGGGTTTCCGAGGCAGTATCACTACAGAAGTAGATTGCACAGTCTTCCTTCCAAGTAGTGGCTGGTGGGTTTGAACTGCCAGCCTTCTGGTTAGCAGTCAAATGCCTTAGGCACACTCCAGACTTAGTACATCTTTAATCAAAGAACGAATCTCCTTTTATCCACTAGAACCTTCTTGTTGTTGTTGTTGCTACATGCTGTCCACTGACCCGACTCATAGCGACCCCTCCTTGCGTTTCCAAGGCAGTGTCACTACGAAAGTAGATTGCTCCATCTTCCTTCCGAGGAGTGGCTGGTGGGTTTGAACCACCAGCCTTCTGGTTAGCAATCAAGTGCCTTAGGCAGAACCTTACATTGTTTCAAATTAACAACCTGAGTGGGTCTGCACAATTCTGATGGTTCCCATTTAGCATATCCAATCAATATCAGCTTAAGGGCAGACTTACACATCTTCAGTTTTACAATATCAGGTAGAGGGAGTGTTCTCCAATGAGACATAATATTCATAATAGGAACACTCAGGTAAGGGAGATGCAACTACTTCATTCAAGATTTGCTTAAAATTTCCCATTCTTATCCAAACTGTCACCTTAGTCCCATTAACTATTGCATTCCCGTATCCCCCCAGTACAAATTTAGACTCCTTCAAGATTTTATTGACAGGCTTGGGGGTTACAGTACTCTGGGCTCCTGTGTCCAGAATCCCCAAAAAGGTCTCTTACCCAGCCTTGGGCCATTTTACCCACACAAGTGCATACAGCCTCAGGGCCCCTACTGGAGGTTGGACCGGAAGACTCTGGCCCCCTCGTCATCCTTACAGCCCTGCCTCTGCTTCAAATGGTCCCAGGTGGGACTTCCCATCATTAAATTCCTTCCAACGGCAGTGAACAGAACAGACTTGTTGGGCCTCTTTAATGCTGATGGGCCGGTGGGAGTTCCCATTAGCCTATCCAACCTTCTCTTGCTTCGTTAAAACCTTGGTCTCAGCTCCATCCACGCCCACTATACGCATCCCATTTCTTACTAACCATCCAAAAATCTCCATGCTGCTGGGGCGAGTTCTTTCCCCATTGCCTCTTCTCATTCTCCTGTGAATCACCCTATGTTTCTTGCTTCTGTAAGACCCATGTGGGGCACCTGTCCCATCAGATCCCATACAGCTTCTCGGATTGTTGCTTTCATTGAAGTAGCAAGGTTGCATGCAGTGCTCATGTAAAAGGGGCTCCCATGATTAGCATATCCGCCATGACCTGTGTAAGGAGCATGCTCATTTGATGAACACCCTGACCACCATAAAGCCATTCCAGCAGGGCTTGCATAAGCTGCTTCCTCGAGTGTTCCGGGGGGCATTTAGAGGGGGAAAGGGGAAGTTTCCCTTCTCAAGGTTAGCAAATCTCACTGAAAATTTTATCCAGCCCACCAGGCTGGCTGTCCCCAACTTGTTATGTAACTGGATCTTGAATCATCATTCATGACAGTTCCCTAGTGAGTTGTGGGTCTTGCATCAACGCCAATATACTCTTCCACTCTCTGACTAAGTGTTGTAGTTCTGACTGGCCAGATCTGGGCTTGGTTCAGTGCTTCAACCCACCCCTACATTCTTTATCCTTGCCACGGCAGCTTTTACTGATAACAGAAACCAAGAAATTGTATGTCTCCCCCTTTCCTTATCACTCTGTACTTCCACATGCCTCCAACTAGCCAATTCCTCAGGAGACAGGTCCACCACTCCTACTTCCTGTGAATAGCTTTTGCCTCAGGTAACTGACTACAATATAACAGCTGCCTCAATCCAACGGTGTTTCTTATCCCATTCAGAAACCAAAGGTTTCTCATTCTCCTGTTTATCCCCTTTTTTCCAAAATGACATGTTTCAATGACTCTGGGCTGTGGCAGTAAATCCCACCATTCTGACACCAACTAAATGAATGGTTTATTTGATAAGGATCAGAACAAAGCTGGTTCCCATGAGATGGAGGTTAAAGATGTCCTGAGTGTCCAATGTTTCCAAACGACTGACCCCCTCCCCTCACTACTCTCCCTCCAGTCTTTGAATTCAGTAATTCGCGCAAGGTCTCACAGAGCTCACGAACCACACTTACAACTAAGTGGTTTATTAGGAAAGTAATAGGAATAACTCAGGATGCCTTTTCTTGATCAGGACTGCTTCTTCCTGCCCTCTGTCACTGGGCCCTGCTGGAGTCCTTCTTGGCAAGTGTTACAACTCTCAGCTCCGTGGGTCAGTAGGCCCCCCCTCAACTGTCTCGCCTCAGTCTCCTACTGTCCCAAGCAGCTCTTGCTACTGCTGCACTGCCCTGCCTCACTGTCTTCCGTTACAGTTCCTCCCTCCCTGCCTCCCACATCTCCCTTTAAACCTAGCAACTGACCAGTCCATTAGGGTTCCATACACCTTATTTGGACTTTTGTTGTTGTTGTTGTTTTAAATTTTATTGTGCTTTGGCTGCAAATTTACAGAGCAAATTTGTTTTACATTCAACAGTTTGTGCACATTTGATTTCACGCCCCGATTACCATCCCTGACCATAACAAACTCTCCTCCCCTCCTGTCCCTGTGACCACCCCCTCCTGGTGCCCTTCTTAAGTATGTATCCTGTCTGTCCAGCTTTCCCTCTATGTGAATGCTGTCCCTCTGGTGTCATACACTTTATTTGCATGGTCCCACCCCCACAAAGTTGCCATGCACCTCATTTATGTTATTAGCAACCTATCCAATCTCCTTGGTGGGCCACAAGCACTTCATTTGCATAGCCCCACCCAGTCATTTCGTGGGAGTTACAAAGATCATGGTTATTGTTACTGTTGACCCCTGGTAAGACTTTCCTCATTACTAACATTCCTGGAACCACAGTTATTATCACAGATGCTACTATTTATATTGTTACTCATGGTCTTAGTGATTCTCTATTTTGTTACTATACTCCTTATTTTATTCTTATATTACTTCATATTACTGCCCATTATTAATAATATAGGCAGTATTACTACTATATTCACTATTCCCCACATCCAGTCCCCCTCCCATCAAGCGCTCCCAAAGCCTACCAGGATCCCTCAACCCCAAGCCAGGATTTCCCTCCTTGAGCCCGCTAAGACCAAACCTTCAACTTACTAGAAGGAAATGAAGGTGGGATTCAGGCCCCAGGTCCCTAAGGTGCAGAAAAGATGGATAACAGTGCCTTGACCCCTTTGGGTAGGCGGGGTGGAGTGGCTGAGCCCACCGAATGATTTTTAATAAACCAGATGGGTAGGGTCTGGGGAGTGTGCACCTTAGAGCTTTCTTCTCCCTACCAGTTACCAGTGGCCATCAAGACAATTACAGCTCCTGGTAACCCCATGTGTGTCATGGTAGGACTGTGCTCCACAGGGCTGTTAATGGGTGACTTTTGGGAAGCTGATGGCCAGGACTTTCTTCTGAAATACCTCTGAGTGGACTCAAACCTTCAACCTTTCAGTCAGCAACCCAGCATTTTAACCATTTGCATTACCCAGGGACTCAATGCCGATGATAGTGACCCTGTAAGACAGAGTAAAACTGCCCCATAGGGTTTCCTAGGCTGTAATCTTCATGGGAACAGATCACCAGGTCTTTTCTCCTGTGGAGTGGGTTCGAACTTTCAACTTTTCAGTTAGCAGCTGAGCATCCATCCACTCCTTACAAGCTAGCTCGTTCCTGGGCAACGAAGGGAATTCAAACCCCAACTTTCCCCCAGGGCAGTGGCTCCAGATCTCAGCTTCTCTGTTAAAAGCCCTTGGCATTCCCACCCTAGCTCAGCTTCAAGACATTCTAACAAGAAATGAGGTAAAATGACTGCTTTAAAGAACTATACAAAGTAACTTAACTTTTATTGAGTCCTTTAAGTGCCAGAAACTGGCAACACAGAGCCCCAAGACACAGTCCCTGCCCTTGAAGAGCTCACAGTCTAGAGAGGGGGACAGCCTGGGAGTGAGTCCCACAAAGCTGGAGAGGAAGAGGACAGCAGTGACCACAGGAGAAGGCATTATTCCTCCCCTCCCACCCTCAGATTCCAAAATGGCTTTGAACAGGAAGCGAACAGGAAGCTTACTGTCTCTCCCCACTTCCCGGTGACAGCACTGGCTTCTCTCACTCTGTCCTGGGCACCATGAGGGGCTGAGACACAGGGATGAGGGGGCTACACTCGAAAAGCTCTCAAAAATCTGAAAGACCCTGGCAGGTTATATACAACAGTAACTTTATTTCCCAAAAGCTGCAAACCAGTGCAGCAAAAGCTGAGGGTACCAGGGAGACTGGAAGAATGGGGGCTGGGCCAGCCCAGTGCGCTGAGGGAAGCGGTATGTAATGAGGACAGCAGTGCTCAGGGCCAGGAAGTAGGGTAGGGGGACATCCCCAGATGCAGATGCTCACAGGAAGGCACCAGTAGCCACAGCCAACAGAAGAGTCACCAGTCCGACCATGGGAGCTGCAGAGTCATTAGAGAAGTCCTGGGCCCCACCTTTTGAGGGGTGCTGCCCCACATTACTGCGGTCCTGGTGGCCAGCAGCACCTCCAGCCAAGTGGGAACCCTCCTCCGGGGATGCCTCGGGTTCTGCCTCCTTCGGGGGAGTCTGGCTGGCTGGCGTGGGGCTGGGTTTGGTAGTGGAGGAGGAGGTGGTTGGGGCTGCAGTGGACGTGGTGACAGAGGTGGTCGGGGCCCGAGTGGTGGACTGCGGAGGGGTCAGAAGGACAAGGGGAGGGATTCGAGAAGCAAAGTAGGTCTTATTGCGGAGGTCGGAGTTACAGCGGGATCCCTGGCAGCAGGAACCGCTGAGCATAAACCCTGGACCTGTCACCCCATCGCGGGTGCAGAGCTCGTCCTTGACGCAGCCGCGGACGGGCAAGGATACAGTCACATTGGCTGCAGGAAGGAGACATAGTGGTCAGTGGTTAGAAGGAAGGGGAAGGGAGGCACAGCCAGAATGAAATTTGGTGTCACTAGGAGCTCTGGTAGCACAGTGCCTAAGGCACTTGACTGCTAACCAGAAGGCTGGAGGTTCAAACCCACCAGCCACTCCTCGGAAGGAGGGTTGGGCAATCTACTTCCGTACTGATACTGCCTCGGAAACCCAAGGAGGGGTCGCTATTAGTCACATACTCGATGGCACATAACAACAACAACAACAGGAGTAAAGTGGGAGCAGAGTAAGGAGACAGAAGGGCCCAACATCCCTTAATCCAAAAAGTCTCATCACATGCCCCACTTTGAGAAACACTGTCCCATTGTCTTTGCCCGTGGTGTTCCACGTTTCCCATACAACTTTGAGAGGAAAGCTGTGTACACTGAACTACAAGTCCCACAACGCCTTGGAACAAAGGCATGGACTGGGACTCAGACTCTCACACAGCCAAAGAGCAAAACAAATATCCCCCACGTCCCTCCCCACCATTTCCCCCGCCCCTTCCTCTTGGTTACTCTCTCCCCTACCGCTAAAATTTAGTCTAAGAGTCAAAACTACACCTCCCATAGTGCAGCTGCCAGAGGATAAAGCATGGAGAACTTCATTTCCCATAGTTCCCTGAGGCAGAGCCTAGGAGGCTAAACTACATCTCTCGTGATACTGCAAGACTGAAGGGAACCCTAAGCCCTCGAGTTTCAGGGGTCAGAACTTTATTACTCTCACTGCCTGAACAGGCCCTTAGAGACTTAAATACACTGAGCTCTGGTAGCATAGTGCCTAAGGCACTTGACTGCTCACCAGAAGGCTGGCGGTTCAAATCCACCAGCCACTCCTCGGAAGGAAGGTTGGGCAATCCTACTTCCGTAGTGATACTGCCTCGGAAACCCAAGGAGGGGTCGCTATGAGTCGGGGCCGACTTGACGGCAAACAACAACCACAACAACAACATAGCCCATCATCTCATTCTGCACCTATCAGGCCTCTATAGAAACGTATTTCCTCAAATAACTCTAAAACAAAAACATCCCGGTCACCACGATGTATTTGGGACATGAGGCGCTAGACAAGAACGCAAGACTACAGTTCCCAGAATGCGTTGGAGGCGGAGGAAAGCCCTTTGAGTAAAGGGCTACCTACATCGCCCAAGATGCCTCAGAAAGGCTACCACAATACCTACGGGGCCCATGCTCCGAGACTCGCTCACCTGCCGTCAATGTGACGTTTCCATCGAAACAACCTTTGTAGAAGCTGTCGCTGGCATTGTAGCAGTTTACGACAGGTGGCGCCTTACCCTGGCACGCCTCACGGCTCAGCCCCACGCAGCTGTAGCACTCGGCGCCGTTGGGCTCGTAAGCACTCTCATTGCCTGCAAGAGGATACAGAGAAGGAAGGAAGTCAGGAGGGCTCGGGAATGAGACGTCTCGGTCCCTGCAGCCCAGGGCTAGAGCCTTCCACAGATGCATAGCTCTACTTTCTACCTCGGCACTGGCCACGTCCATTCAGTAGCCCCGCCCACAGGCCTATAGCCGGATTCCTAATGGCCAACCTCATTTTATCTACGCCAATGAATTTCCGCCTACTACCTATTGGCCCCACCCCAGAACGTGATCCCAGTCCTCACGCAGTACCCTTGTCAACCAGCACAGCTCCGCCTCTAGTTTACAATCAACCTTGCCAGGCTGTGCTTTGCCCCTGGGCCTATGACCCCGCCCCCATTCACCTGCGGGGTTGAGCGCTCGCGAGGTGAGGTTGAGCTTGGTGTTGCAGAGGTCCTGGGAGCATTGCTGCAGCTGGATGAAGGCCAGAAGCCCGTGAAGGTCCAGTCCGCGGTCATTCTTTCCGGGGAGTCCGGAGCCACATCCCCGTACTGCCATCGAGAATTGCCCGTGGACTGTGGAGAGGGGGCGGGGTCAGAGGCAAGCAGACAGTTTAGCTATGGACTGCTAGCCGAAAAAGTAGTGGTTCAAACCCAGCCAGAGGCGTCTCGGAAGTTCAGGCCTGGAGATCTGCTTCCGAAAGGTCACAGCCTTGAAAACTGTGGAGGGGTTTTTCTCTGCACACAGGGAGGGTCTACATGAGTGGAATTGGCTCGAGGACAATTAACAAATAAGCCAATATCGGAGGGCTGGGGTATCAGAGCATATCGGAGGGCGTAAGAATGACAGACGGAAGAAGGGGGTGGGGACACAGAGGGGCAGAACCCCAAAGAGCTGGGTCCAAGGGATTAGACAGGCTGACAGACACGCATGGATGGAGGGCGCAGAGGAAGAGCTAGGACGAGGTATGGCCAAAGGGGGCGACGCAGCACAAAGCCGCATCTAAAGGAACGGAGACAGCGCCAAAAACAAAAATACAGGATCAGAGAGGGGTGGGCCTCGGAAAGGGAAGTTTATTAACCGATTCTAAAGGAACGGGGCTTCTGCTGAGAACTAAGCCTGCGAAAGGCGGGTCTTCTACAGAGGGGCAGGGCCTCAGGCTGTGGGAATCCAGCCTCTGGGAGGGGACTTCCATCACCTGGGACCCCATGGGTTATGTGAAGCTGGGTTTGGGTGGAGAGAATGCTGACAGGGACAGAAGGAAGCAGAGAACTGTCACTGGTGGAACAGAAACAAACAGGTGTGCCCGCAAAGAAGGCGAGGTCCTAGAAGGGTGGACGCGGCTGCAAACCTGGGCTCTCCCAGGGCGCCTCACCCAGTTCACTGCTCTCAGACTTCCTCCCCCTAAGCCTGGCTGGTGAAGGGAAGGCTGGGAGTGAGGGGCGCAGACCCGCGTGAATGAGAGGGGCGGGGCTGCGCTGGAAAGGTGTGGCCAGATGCAGAGGGGGCGTGGCTATCAGGGAAGCGCCTGGGCCCTGCTAGAGCAGCCTGAGTCTTGCGCCTGGACCGGGGTCCTCACTCACTTGTCTCCACCGCCCCTACGGCCTCTGTGCAGACTTCCACGCCCGGTGCGCACTTCACCGTCTTCATTTTCTTCGGAGAGCATCCGTCATCTGCTTTCTGCACGCAGCTGTAGCACTCCAGGGCCTGCGCTCCTGGGGATGTGGGGCCGAGTAGGAGTGAGCCGTCTCAACTGAAGCCTCCTCCCCCAAAGGGGAAATGGTGCTTCCCACGCCTTCTGGCCCCGGCACGGGACGGTCCATCACTGCACTACCTTTTCCCGGACAGGAGGAGGGAAAGCCTTCCCAAAAACCGGAGAGCGCAGGGTGCACTGGGTTCCTTTCTGGTGGGCGCAATGCCTAAGCCATTTGAGTGCTAACCAGAAGGTTGGCGGTTCAAACCCACCAGCCACTCCGCGAAAGAAAGACTTGGCAATCTATTTCCGTAAAGATTTACCGCCCCGAAAACCCAATGGAGGTCGCTATGAGTCGGAATAGACTCCATGGCAGTGGGTTGGGGTTGGTTTTTATGCCTGCAGTGGAAGCACCCTTCCCACAGCCCCTTATGTTGTGGGGGGTCCCTGCCGTGGAGCTTGTCATCCAAGGATAGGGGAGCCTCTTCCCACAGCTCTATGTTCAGAATGGGAGAAATTTTCCCATTCGGCTCAGAAAAAAAGGATCCTTTCCCACAATTCTCTCTGCTTACCTTTGGGGGCCATTCCCAAATCCCCCTCTGCTCAATATGACAGAATTTTCCCCAGGGCCTTCTCTGCGCACAGTGGGGGGCCCTTCCTAGAGCCCTCCCTGACCACAGTGGGGGGTCCTTCTCAGAGCCCTCTCTGACTAGGGTAGGGGGTTCTTCCCACAAACCCCTCTGCTCAAGATGGAAGGACTTTTCCCGTAGTCCCCTCTGCCATGGGGAGATCTATCTCCCAGTCCTTCTGCCCAGGACAGGGACCTTCTACCCAAGATGGGACAGAACTCTCCCATACAGTCCTCTCAGCCTGTGGTGGGAGGGGTGCATTTCTTCTCAGAACAGTGACCTCTACAGAGTGGAAGACCTTCTCCCACAGCCATCTCGGTGGGAGCTGAGGGGACTCTCCACCCTAGGACCCCCTCCATCCCTGCCGGCCGCAGACCCACCTTCCCGAAGCAGCAGTGGCACCAGCAACAGCCAGCCTGTTATGCAGATCACCGCTGGGGTACACGCTCTCCTGCCCGGGTCCATGGCTCGGTCCTGCTCTCTCGGCGTCCCCCCCTGGGAGTGCCGCCTCCCAACCCTGGCCCTCTTACCTGAGCCCAGGATGAGTAACTTCCCCCTAGGCAACCTTGGTCTTGCCCAACGAGCCCAAGTCAGCGTCCGCTGTGGGGCGGGGCCCTCCCTTGGAGGTGCGTCACCCACAGGGAGAGCAGCCCCTGCCCTGTGCAGTTGCCAAGGAGAAACTGGGTAGCAGTCAAGTTTCCCTGACAATCCCCCAGGGAGAAAGTCTGAGTGGGGAAAAGGGGGCTGAGGCTCAGAGGGAGGTAGGGTCTGAGCCCTCAACATCCAGCCTTCAGTGAATTGTTAGTGTGTGTGAAGGGCTTTGGGTGGGTGGTGCTGGGACACGAGACATGCGCAGTGCTTGCCCTCATGCAGCTCACAGTCTAATGGGGGAGACAGATGTTAACCAAATAACCATACGAATTGTTGTTTACAGCCGAAAGTGGGACAATGAAGGAAGAAGCGTGGGGAGCTCCAAGAGGGCGTGGATCCAGACCAGAGGCTGGTCAGTGAAGGCGGGCTTCCCTGTGTCTGTCAGCTAGTCATGACCTCAAAGACATGGGGGGTTTAGCCAAGCAAAGCAGGCGGTGGGAGGGGTGACAAGGAACAATAGCAGGTGGAGGAGGCAGCATGTGTGAAGACCCGGAGAAGTGGCATCGACCTGCCAAAGACAAAGGAGATCAGTGTGCCTGGAGCTCAGAGCGCGAGGGGAAAACTGAGGCAGAAGAGGCAGGCAGGGGCCAGATCCTGCAGGGCCTGACAGGTCTTGAGAAGAAACTACTTGAGGATGCAACAGGGAAGAATCTCAAGACACTTTACGCTGAGCTAGCCTTCCGCCAAACAGAACGCACTGCGTCTGCCAATTACCTCAAGCCCTAGAACCGTCAAAACTAATCTGGCAACGTGATTAATGTCATCGGTGTCACTAAATTATGCGTGGGAAAAATGTCGAATTGGGAAGAGTTGTGTTTTATAGCGTTAAGGCATCTGACTGCTAACCAAAAGGTTGGTGGTTCAAACTTACCAGCTGAGGCAATCTGCTTCCGTAAAGATTTACAACCTTGGAAAGCCAATGGGGTCGCTATGAGTTGGAATCAACTTAATGTTGTTGTTGTTGTGGTTATGTGCCGTCGAGTCAGACCCAACTCATAGCAACCCGTCCTTGTGTTTCCGAGGCAGTATCACTACAGAAGTAGATCGCCCCATCTTCCTTCCGAGGAATGGGTTTGAACCGCCAGCCTTCTGGTTAGCAGTCAAGTGCCTTAGGCACTACGCCACCAGAGCTCCAAATAGCAATGAGTTTTGGTATATATATTTACAACAATTAAAAAGAAAGCCCTGGGGGGGGAACTAATGTGATAGAAATCAGAACCATGGTACCCTTTGGAAGGTCATTACCCCAGAAAGAGTGATCGTGAGAAGCCCTCACTATCTTCATGTGTAGGAGCTCTGGTGGCGTAGTGCCTAAGGCATGTGACTGCTAACCAGAAGGCTGGAGGTTCAA